GTAGCAAACCATTTTTATCCCTGCATTCTTCAGTATCAGTATCTAAAAATGTATACACATTTACTTTTTAAATCATAATGCCATTTTAACACCTGCAAAATTAACAATAATGTCTTGGTATAACTTAACATTCAGCTCATTATCAGGTTTCTTCAGATATCTCAAAATGTGTTTTTATTGTTGATTTGTTCAAACTGATCCAAACAAGATTCTTGAATCTGGTTGTTGTGTCTCTGGGTTCTCCTTAAATCCAGAGTGACCCCTCCTGTTTTTCCTCACATCATTTGACATATTGAAGAAATGGTATCAGTTTTCCAATAAAATATCCCACTTTCAGGATTTGATTGTTTACTTCCTTGAGGTATCATTTAACTTGTACCTCTATCCCTCTGTATTTCCAGTACTTTGAAGCTTATTTTAAAAGTTTCATTTGATTCAGGTTGAATATTTTTTGGCAGGAAAACCTAACAAATAGTGATGTGTGAAATGTAGCATGGCTTTCAATATTTTATGGAAAAGTTCATTTTATCTTGAAATTAGGAATAGTTTCCTTTGATAATATGATATTGGACAAAGAAATCCTATCATATTGTCTGTTGAACAGTGAAAACTATTCATGGGGTCATGTTAAGATAACTGCTGTTTAGAAGGAACAAAACAGTAGTAGACTCATTGACACTGAGAAGTGACTAGTGGTTACCAAGGAGAAGGGTAAGGGGTTTAAAGAGGCACAGTGATTCACAATCACATATATAAATTGGTCACAGGGATGTATTACAGCATGGAGAATACAGTCAATGATTCTGTAACATCTTTCTACATTGATAGATAGTAACCACATTAGAGCAGGTGAGGATTTAATAATATTGGTAACTGTTGAACCACTGTGTTGTAAATTTGAAACCAATATAAGATGTATATCAATGATACTTAAATTTAAAAAAAATCCCCCTCCAAAAGTCATATAACATCAGAACCAAATACTTAACAGCCTGAAATAGATGTATACTCATATGTGAAATGTGAGTTACATTATCATTTTCAACAAATTAGCATTGATTTAAAGTTAAAAAAAGAAAAAAGATAACTGCCATTTACTGGTTTTCACCTTTTAGAATCCAAGTAGAGTAAGACAAGATTTCGTTGTGCACAGTCAACAGAATGTCGTTATCAAGTTTGTCAACATAAAAGTTAGGAGAACTTGGAGGGGGGTAAGTGGGAAAGGTACCAGCAACCGAGGGAATTAAGAGATGTGGATAAAAATTAGAAGTATATTTAAGATTGCAAAAGAACCAAATTGGAGTATTAGAGTAATATGATTGTTAGAAATATGTGAGAGAGGCTTAGTATAAATGAACTTAATCTTTTTTCATATAAAAGAGTTCGTAGATAATGTCTAAAGATGTTTTTACTGCTACTGGTAAATTAGTCATTAAAAAAAATTCTTGTAGAGGCAACCACCAGAGAAACTGAAGAACAGACTTTTAAAGTAGTTGTGTCTGGAGAGTGGAATTGGGAGTGGGAAGAGTGGAAAGGAATGTTGCTTTTCATTATAAACTCTTTTGGACTAGTTGTTGTGTATGTATATTCATTAAAGAAAGTAATAACTTTCTTATCCCTTAGTTTTAATTTCTACCCTAAAATGTGGTTTCATCGAGTGAACTTAACATATCCTTATTTTTCTTTAGGTGACTATATATAGAATTTATTTTTGGAGCTTTCATCATCATTTTCTTGAGACAGTTTGTTACTTTGTGGCATTCTTTTACAACATGGAAATTTAAATAATAATTATATTAAATTATTTCAAAAAGTATGATGATAACAGGTCAAATACATAAAAGAATTAAGCATAGATCAGAAGATTTCTTTGTATTTAAATAGTGACTTGCTGTAAGAAATAGTATGAAAATTATATGCCCTTAAAGATTTGAAATGCTTACCTTTTCAGTTGTTGCCATTTGTCTCTCTCTTCTTGGCCTCCCTGAATCATGTGCAGAGCCATTCTCTAAAGTTTTTAATATAATTATTATTTAAATTTCCATGTTGTAAAAGAATACCACAAAGTAACAAACTGTCTCAAGAAAATGATGATGAGAGCTCCAAAAATAAATTTTATACATAGTCACCTAAAGAAAAGTTCTCTAACAATAATAAACTTCAGGACAGTGGTGAGACTGCTTCACAGAAGAGTTGACTATTTTAAATTGCCGGTGGTTAGTAACTCTCCAACTAGAAATTGATCCATTGTACATAATCAATATGGACAACTATAGAATTTCCAGAAGTTTCAAAAGGTTACTTTTCATGAGCTGGATAGCTCCCACATATCATTGGAAAATCAGATTTCAGAGCTAACCATTCTTGAAAAATTGCAGAATTTGAAGAGTACTTAAGGCAGGAAATGAAGGTCAAAATCAGCATTGCCTAAGAAAAGTCTTGTGTGATGTTCTCTTTGGATATAATCCTAATTAAAAAGAGAAGATAGATGAAAATTTTGTAACAATGCCATGGAAGAATATTACATAGAAAGCATTTACTTCGTGCTTATTGGTTAAAACCAGTGTATTGAGATTTAAATTACAAATGTTTTTGGCCTAAGTTTGTTAAATGCACAAAACTCCAAAAAAGATTTTTTTTTTAGTGTGATGAAATCTCTGGTAATGAGCCCTGTAGTTTCTTTAAAGTTGTGGTAGATGTTGAGTTTAGCTCTTTTAACTATTGAACTCAGTTTTTTATCTTTTCATCTCTGATTACCAATTTTTATTCATTATAGAACCTGGCAGAAGAATATATTATGTATATTTGTGTAATATAAGTATTCTAAGTATTATTTGCATTTCAATTTAAAAGATTATTTATAGAATGTGGTTATTAGAGCAGTGGACATGAAATCAAACTGAATCATAATCTAGGCTCTAATCCTAGATTATATGATAACGGACAAATCACTTAATTTATCTGGACGTATTTCATCTTTTATGAACAAAGGAGTAAGATTTGATAATTTAATCCATGATTCTGTCACACAGTCTGTCATTAAAGTTCATACATGTTAAAAGATTTTATGAAGAGCATGCACAACCTTGTTATCCTCAGTTCTTACTATGGAAAACATGAGATGCTTTTTCCTTCTCCTTAAATTTATAAAACATAGGAATTTATTAATTTGGTTTAACTTTTCAAACTTTTAATCTGAGGAAAAAGAAAAACTCCATATTAGACCTAATAAATGCTAAACAAAAATACAGCATAATTTAGCTTTTTAAAGTATAATGCTCACAAAAGGAAATCCAGAGGGCTCTGTTCCAGTTATTATTGCTGCTAAATAACCTACCCCAAAACTTTGTGGTTTAAAACAATAATAATCATTTAATCAGTCATGAACCTGCATTTCATATAGCATTTTTTTAGGGGGTAGCTCCCCTTGTGCTCCATATAGCATCGGCTGGAATAGCCCAATGACAGGCTGACTAAACATTTTCTCAGCTCTTTTCTTATAGCCAAACACCTTGAAAAAGTTTTCTCTAGTTATTCTTGGTATCTCTAGTTCTCTTCTGCCATTTTCCCTTATTACAATTATTTTTTAATAGTACATTTTGAAATAATTTCAAGTATGGAGAAAATTTGCGAGAAAGGTAAAAAGACTCATGTATCCTTTCACCCAGATTCCCCCATTATTAACATTTTATTGAATTTGCTATATTATCAGCACACTGCTCCCTCTCTCCCTTCACACATACACACACAAACATGCATGAGCATTCATCTTGTTTTTAACCTTTAGAAAGCAAGCTTTACACACTATGTCCCATCATTACTAAATATCCCAACAAGGACATTCTCCTATATAATTAGCAAACAAATCAGGAAGCCAGCATTGATTCAACACTGCCACCCAATCCAGAAACACCATTCATATTTCGCCAAGTTTCTCAACAGTATCTCTTTTTCCTTTTGTGTCCAGGTTCCCATCCAGAAAAAATTAAGTATTTAGTTGTCATGTCTCTTCAGACTCATTCATTCTGGAACAGTCCCTTAGTCCTTCACTGGACTGTTTTAATGAGTGCAGACCTTACATTATGTAGGGTGACCCTAACCTTGATTCACCTGATGTTGACTGGTAACTGTACTTACGTCACACATTTTTGACAGAAAATCACTGAAATGAAGTTATGCATTACATCAAGTGACACACAACATCAACTTGTTCTATCACTGGCAACCTTGATCTCCTGGTCACATTTGGAGTCTGACACATTTTTCCACATTAAAGTCACCATTAAACCTTTTGTAATTGATTTGTATTTTGTACAGAATTTTTCAAGAATAAATTACTATGTTCCTCATCTATGAACCAGCTTCAGCATCCGTTGATGATTCCCATCTGAATGAAACCTCTCTGATGGTTGCCAAATGCTGATTTTCCATTTCCTTTATTCCTTCTACCTTTATCAGTTGTCACTCTAGTGAAAGCAAGAGCTTTGGCTTTTCCATGTATTTATTTATTTATAATATATGGACTTATCAATTCCTATTTTATTTACAGGGTGGTAGTCAGTTACTATCATTATTTATTTTAATCTTAAAATTATTGATTTGGCCAGTGGGAGCCTCTGCAGGTTTTTTTCAATGTGTCCCACCATTCATCAAGCACTACTTTACTTTCTGGTGCTGAAGAGGTTTCAGGGTCATTCTGTACTTTGCCTGACCCAGCCCTGAAATCAGTCTTTTCTCCAAGTAGCTCTGTTTCCTCTTAGCAAAGGATAGGTACGTAGGAAACAAGATCTGAGCACTCATTGTGCTTGATGCCCCTGAATTATCATCACTTCTAGGCCCTTTCAGCAAAGAAAGCTTGGAAATATTTACATACAATGTTAGCAGTCACATAGTTTTAATATGCTGGAGCTTTGATTGCAGAGCAGTAACTAACAATATTACTTGATGTTATAATCAGTGAGAAAAATAAACTTTTCTTCTCTTTTCTCCTCTTCCCCCAGGTATGTGTAATCCTCGAAACTATAGTGACACACCTCCAACTTCAAAGAGCACGGTGGAGGAGCTTCACGAGCCAATCCCTTCTCTCTTCCGAGCACTCACAGAAGGAGACACTCAGTTGAACTGGAACATCATTTCCTTCCCTGTTGCAGAGGAACTCTCACATCATGAGAATCTGGTTTCATTTTTAGAAACTGTAAACCAGCCACACCACCAAAATGTGTCTGTTCCCAGCAATAATGTTCACGCACCTTATTCCAATGACAAAGGTAACTGCCAGCAGGTGACTTGTTCCATCCTGCCTCATTTCTGTTTTGTCTCTGAGACCTTTGTTAAGCTTACATTGCAGAGGAACTTTTTAGTTTTGAGTTTGTATAGTCTTAAGCAAATTCTGGATTTTTATAACTCCAATCCCTAGGTAGGTAAGGAGGCATGTCAAGCATATTGTCACAACTCTGTCATACTCTCAGTGATAGAGGTGATTTTGGAAGATAAACTGGTCCAAATTTTGATATTTATTTGCACTAGGCTTTATTTGTTCTTTTCATAAGATAGCAACAGTGCTGCTTACCTAATATAGTATTACTTACTGTCAAGGTGTCCTAGGAAGTCAGGTTTTTATAAGAGCTTTGGTACCACAAATGATGCCAAGGTCATCAGCTAAATTTCTTTATGAGCAATTTGGTATTATGGACATCTAATTTCCAGGTATAAACTAACTCCAGCCAGGTCTCTAAATGAGTATTGTTGGTTGGAAAAGGGAACTAAATGAGAGACTGACTTGTACAACTTTGAAAAACATTGTATTTATTTTTTATTTATTTATTTTTATGAATTTGGTTTTGTTTATTCATTTGTTTTATTTTTTAGATTCCACATAGTGAAACCATATGGTATTTATCTTTGACTTCTATCACTTAGCATAATACCCTCTAGGTCCATCCATGTTATTGCAAATGGCAAGATTTCCTTCTTTTTTTATGGTTGAGTAGTATTCCATTGCATGTGTATATATCTATATCTGTCATCTGTCATCTATCCATCTACATAGTTACCTACCTACCATATCTTCTTCATCCATTCACCCATTGATGAACACTTAGGTTTCCATATCTAGGCTATTATTGTAAATAATGGTGCAGTGAGCATAAGGGTGTATATATTTTCAAATTAGTGTTTTTGTTTTCTTCAGATACATATCCAGAAGTAGAATACTGTATCATATAGTAGTTCTATTTTTAATTTTTTGAGAAACCTCCATATTGGTTTCCATAGTGGCTACAACTATTTTTACCTTCCCACCAACAGTGCACAAGGGTTCCCTTTTCTCCATATCGTCACCAACAATTGTTATTTCTTTTAGAATTATTTGTTCTAGTTCTGTGAAAAAATGCCTTGAAATTTTGGTCGGATTACACTGAATCTGTAGAATGCTTTGGGTAGTATGGCTATTTTCACAATATTAATTCTTCCAAACTATGAACACAGAAAATATTTCTATTTATTTGTGTTGTCTTCAATTTCTTTCATAAATGTCTTATAGTTTTCAGTGTACAGGCCTTTTACCTCCTTGGTTAAATTTATTCCTAAGTATCTTATTCTTTTTGATACAATTGTAAATAAGATTGTTTTATTGAAAAACATTTTAAAGAATATTTATGAACGAGGATGAGTCATTCCTTAATCTTACAATGTAAAGGCCTTGTAACTTTTATAAAGTCTTCAATATTTTCAAATAAAAGGCTTTATACAATTTTACTGTGGAAGAATAAGGCAGTTGTGAAAACTGCAGTTATTTCTTAGAATATGGATAAATTATGCACAGATAGTATAATTTGTACTTTCTTATTTGGCATTTTGTTGTGTCCCCCTTTACAATCCTACTATCTGAACTGGTATGAACTTTGGATGTCAATAGTAAGAGCAAAACAGCTTTTGTTAATGATACTCAAGAATAAGAATTCTTATTTCCTTTCAGGTTAAAGTACTCAGAATACAAATTCTAGATTTTGGAAAATGTCAGAAATATATGGAATGTGTCTTTATAAGATGTTTTGCTACCATTTCCCATTACTAAAATGTAAATAATCAACATAATGACATTAAACAATAATTAATAAATTTTGCTCAAGTATTATTTAAATTCATGCAATAATTAGCAGGAAATTAATTCCTGGCAACACCACCTGTCCTTCAAGGCAGAGCCAGAGTTTCTCCTCTGTGACACCTTCCCTGGATGCCTCTTCTCCTAATCCTCTCATTTGTGATTCAGTTTGTTGTCTGTTTCTAATTTATAGGTCTACCATTTCCTGCTTAGTTCCTTGGATTTTCTGGTTATTCTTTGAGTCCCTAGTGGCTATTCCATAGTAAGTGCTCAATAAATGTTTGAGTAAATAAACAAAGTGAATTTTGTAGGTGCCATTCACTTGGAGATTCAGTGCTCCCCCATCCTGCTCTGCCAGTTCCCCTAGTCTGCCTGGTCTAGTGCTGCACCAGCCCCCTTGATTCTTTCTTAACCAGATCCCATCTTCTATACCCAATCCGATGTCAGCCATTCACTGCTGTCAGCCGTGCCTCTGCTCTGTTCCCCATGTGCACTGCCCCATCTCCTTGTGACACTTCCCTTATTTTGTTACCTAGTAGCTATGATTTAGTTCTTCCTGATAAAAATCCACTTTTTTTCCACTAAGCCATTCCTTACTATTTCAGACCCTTTGACTTATCAGTCCTATAAATAACTATAAAATAATTTAGCCTTTAATCACACACTCTCTATTAATGATTTTTATTGTCCTTTATTTATTCCATGTACCCTGTCATCCGAGATAGGTAGTCATATGGGGTTAACCACAGGAGAATTAGAAATTGAACCAATCAAAAATGGTTGTCTTGGAAAACAGGACTAGACATTGCTATTAATCAGAAGAATATTTTCTAATAGCTAATACTGAATTGTATAAAACATTGCTAACCACTTGCATCATTTGAATTACTTAAGTTTGTTTTATTGTAAGTTCTCAGTTTAACTTTAGAACAGTATTTTTTCAACCTTTTTTTAATGGGAGAATTCTCTCCTCATAGAAAAATCTTATCAGAAATGCTTAGTTTAAAAAGCACAGCTCTGAAGCATAGCAAATGTTAAGCCCAGTTACTTTCAGATCAAAGTCTGAAATCTGATAAAGTCATTAAGGAAGCCCTTTGCTTCTTCAGCTGGAGTGGGAGACTCCAGCTTCCTTCTCAATATAATTAACAAATGTGATCTTTTTTCCTCTACCTCATCCATGTCTTATTGCAGACTAGCAGTAAGAAAACTAAAGTAAATAATTTAATAATATTCATCATGGTATTAAAGTATTTCCTACTTTTCCTCTTTCTTGCTCTAAAATCTTACTCTTTTTTTTTTTCAGAACACATGTGTACTGTGGTTTATTTTGATGACTGCATGTCCATACATCAGTGTAAAATATCCTGTGAGTCCATGGGGGCATCCAAATATCGCTGGTTCCATAATGCCTGCTGTGAGTGCATTGGTCCAGAGTGTATCGACTATGGTAGTAAAACTGTCAAATGTATGAACTGCATGTTTTAAAGATGGAAAAGAATGTAAACCAAAGCAATATAGTAAAAAAGAAAGGTATCAAAAACTATTCAGTGAAGTCCACTGGTTGTACCAGAATACCAGGAGATTAAAAAGATGTAAAGAATTCAGACTGAGTTATTTTAAAAGGATGACAAATCTAGTAATGTGTTAAATTATGATTTAACTGCTCTTCTGATATTGCTGCCAGCTAGAAATAAGCCCTTTCCTCTAAATACACATACAACTTTGGTCATATGAGAAGCAAGTGTACAGATACGAGGTTTCTAGCATCAGGTCTGATTCATTTTCTTCTAGTCCAGAAGCCTTTGGTTTTGAAAGCGTTAGAGTGTGTTCATGTAAGTTGTCATTCATGTGCTACTCCTAGGACACTGAGGTTTTATAGTGTGTGACATTCTTCTCTATGCCTTGTATCATTATCTGTTCTGGAACTAGGGGAGATTTTCAACTTTATCACCCTGAGAACTCACATACAGTCACCATTAAAAGTTTAATTTCAGACCTTTTTATGTTGGTTTTAGAAAGTTACTGCTTTTATAACTTAAACCTCTTCGATAGTAGAATCCATCCTATTATACACATGCTGAGAAAGCTTTGGGGAAAGCTGCTCCTTCTCTTCCATCTGCCTGCCCAAGGTGCTGGGGGTGTGGTGAAGGGTCTTCAACAGCAATATGAGGGCAGCCCATGCCGCTCAGTGTTCTGCTAGGACAAGTAATTAGGAAGTCAGAGCATTCCTGTGACTCAAGGTACCAGCCTAAAGAGTGGGAAACAACTCCCGAATCCCACTCCACTTAGGGTGCCAGGAGAAAAGCCCTGTCTCTCGTCCCAAAATGGGGAAGCTGGAGGTGCAGCTGCACTGGCTGGGCTGAGAGAAGGAGCCGTGCAGCCTCGGCAGCCGCGTTCTCTGTGGATGCTGCTGGGAGGAGACGAGGAGGAGGATTACAGGCAGGAGCAAGGAAGGTAGAAAAGGCCGGAAGGTCTTATGGAAAACAAAACTACATTAATTATTTTGCCATTTTTAAATATTTTCTTTAGGCTTATATCTGGATCAAATGTTCTTATCAAACAAGTATAATAATACAGTGGGAAGTTAAGATTATGAAATTTTTAAGAGCCTCTGTTCAAGATGATGGTAACTCCAAGTAGACTACAGAATATTTTGCGATCTTTTTATATAATGTTTCAGTAAAGAGAAGGAACTCACAGTAATAAAATCCCAATCTTAAAGCATTAACCTAAAACAAATATTTATATTACAGGGACTTAACTTTACAAAATTATTCATTTCTCAAGTATATATTTGAATTACAAGTAACTTTTTAGGAATACCTCTTTATTTGTCTAAATATTTTAGTATATAAAAATAGATAATGCCCCTAGACATTTTGTATTCATTATCAGAACAGTAGTTAGAGACCCTGTGTAATAATACTATGATTACTAGCATAAAATTTAAATCCTTGTTACCTCTTCTGTTCTTTCAGATAAGTTTGATGAATACTCAAGGTACATTCACCTTTTAAAAAGCCTTTGGTCTGTTTTAAAAAGTTGAAGTTTAGCTCATGTGTGTATCTTTTGAAATAGGAAAACATTAGGATGTCCTTTTCTTACTTTATGCCTGGAATACCTTAGCTTCCCTTCTGCATTAATACCTATAAATTGAAGGTTTTCTCAAACTTAAGAAAGAGAAAGTTTCACAGCAATCTATGGCCAGCTACTTCATTTCAGTCATATTTAGGAATAGAAGAATGCTTTTGTGTGACAACATGCTTAATTTTCCTTAAATATGGTAACAAACATTTTTTAACTGCATCTATCATCTGTTTAAGGTATTCATTATTGTTTTTAAAGGTAATGTCTCTTCTGCCCCTATACTGGGAGAATAATTTCTTGAACCATGTTATGTTTGAACTGATTTTTCTTACCTCTATTTCTTCCAGTAGAAATTATTCCTAAATGTGATGGTGAATTTTAATTTCAAATTTTGCTTAGTTTTCTCATTTATGAAGGGGTTGAAAGAAAGATTCCATTTCCAGTTCTATAATGTATTTTAGGTTTTGAATAATAGTATTTTCCAATTAAATGTATGATGTTCAGGAAGCCAGAAGCCACACTAAAACTGATGCCTTTTATCACCATTCTAAGCACAAGCCACTTCTGTATTGATGCTGTGGTAAAAAAAAAAATTTTTTTTAATAAAAAATTATGTCAATATTTTTATAACTAGATCAAAGGAACACTAAAATTTAAATCAGTCGGTCTTACAAAGCCATATAGAAAAGGTTCTTTCCTATAGTGAGGCATGTCCTTCCGAAGCCTGTTGTTCTCTGTCCGTCCTGTCCTATAACATCTAATATTTACTGAAACTGTACTCAAAATAGTGGCACCAAATCAAATGATAATTCAAATAAAATGAGTCTTTGTTTACATAGAATGCTTTAAAAGATTTTCATTTAGAAATATAATTTCTAAAGCTTCAGGAAACAAGTGATGATAGAATATTTGAATATTTATAAATCATAGATGCATCAAAATGGAGAAAAAAATACAACTTATGAAAAATGGGGCAAATATAAATTAGCCACATATTTAAAGTTTGTTTTCTTGACAGCTTCTTTGCAGATTTAAAAAATCTATTCTACATTCCTAAAAATCTATGTTACTGTATTTTACATGATCTACAACATATAAAACTATGTATATTTTCTTTGGTTGTCCCTTTGAGCAAAAAAGTATTTTAATAAAAAACCAAAATGAGTGTGTCATGTGTTTTGTTAATGTCAGCATAGAATACCAAAATAACTTGGACATTCTGCCTAGTGAAGTTATTATTTAAGGGATCAGCTGAAGCACGTCTTCTCTCTGGATGTTCTTACAGATTTTGTTAAAAAGGCATCTTCAGCAGTTTGCTCTCTGCCTTTGCATGTGCTTTATTCCAATATGGGGGAACCAGCTGCAGTGTAGTATGTAACATTCTGATATGTAAGTATCTGATGGCTGGAAGGAGGTACAAAAGATCAAGCTGAGAAAATCATTACCAGCTCCCCAGAGGGATCCTTACAGGATGACATTATGAGAATTGAGAGCCACAGGCTGTACACTCAGGGCAAAATCAACATTATCTCATGGAATCTACACTTTGACAGTTGGTGGACGGGGGATGTAGAGAGAGGAAAAATTCAAGAGAACAGGTTGCTAAGCTGAGTGACTTAAGGGAATGATGCGAGTCTGAGGAATTCCGGTGGGGCAGAGGTCATTTCAAGACAGTACATTTGATTAGGAGAGTTGTTCTTTTGCTGAAGTCCAGTGGCAGTCAGTCGTGTGGAGCTACAGACAGAGAGGGTAATGTGAAACTAGAGTTGAGAAGGACTATCTCAGCTTGAGAAGTCAGCAGGCAGCTGACTGGGGCTGCTGGGGCGAGGCTGCAAAAGGCTGCCCCACACCTCACACAACTGGAGTTCATGAAGCCGTCAGGTATGCCATTGGCTTGTAGGTCTTAGGAGTTATGACTCTTGGACCTTTTAGGTTTTTCCTAACCGATAAAATTCAACATCCTTGTATTTTGAAGTTGCTCTGGAAGGATGGAGTCAGCAATAACTTCAAGGTCTAGCTTTTGAGATGAGAATTCTCAGTGCAGAAGCAGAGAAAAGACTTCTGTCTTCCTCCGTGGTGCTACGACTCCCAGAGTAAAGCCTGGAAAAGTGCTGGTCCATCGCCCTTCAGGGTGACAGCAGTTCCCTCATTGATTAAAGGTAGCCACTGAGGTTAGACAGTCACCACTGAAATATCTTTCTGGCAAAAGGCTGTTTCTGGCCCCCCAACTCTTTTGCATGCCACAGCCAGTGAGCCTCCAAAATACATGTGCAAGTAATTATGGCTGGGACCCCATGTCCAGCTTCCAGTAAATAGCAAGGCCTTTGTGTTCCTTTGCCTCAGAGGGTTTGAGTTACCCAGCAGGAAGTAGGAGCAAGGCAGACAACCTGCCTTTTGTTTTCCATAAGCTGCCTCTGCTGCAGGGGATCTTGCTTGCAGGAGGGGAGGGCGAGTGAGTGCCTTTGTAGCCCAGACAGAAGGTGGGGAGAGGCTGGGCCTGCATGTGCTGTGAACCAGGCTAGAGCTCTAGGACTGGCCCTGAGTCCCCTCCAGAGGCCTGGCCTGGCTCCGGAGTCTGCAGGTACCTCTTTCTAGAGGTTTCCACATAGGGATAACAGCAGCCAGCCCAGCCCTCACTGTCCAGGGCTCTTGCAAACTAGCTCTGAGGATCCTGTGAGCTCCAGGACAGGTAACAGAGCCACTTTCCTGGCAGATGTTGGATGGGATGGGGCTCAGAGTTCAATTTTATTTGATTTCAGGAAAATAGTGAGATGTGACATGTGGCATCCTGGTTTGCAGGATGGCATTTTAATTTCCCAGCCTCACTGACTGGAGGCCTCAGCAGCCTTCCCAACAGCTCAGCCTGTCTTACACCACTTCTCTCTTCTTCCCTCCATTCCCGTCCTGCTGAGTCCTTAGGTAAGTAATAAGTCAAACTTACTAACTAGGTGAACATCTTGAAAGTTCCTGTATTCCAATTCAGCACATAAACTTAGATATCAACTTAAGTCTAATTGAATTTCTCAATTGCACTCTCTAAGTTGGATTTATGAGACTATGCTCTAATAAGCCGATCCTCTACAACATTCAAATATGCTAATTCTTAACACAAAAACCCTGATAATATGGGACTGATTCTCATATCCTAGATCTTATAAATCACTCCAAGACTGCAGAATAGGTTCCTATTAAAGACAGTTAACAGGTTTCCTGTTACCTCCATTTTTACTGAAAACTGATAGAGGCCAGATTAGAAGACAAGACTTGAGCCAAGATTTAGTAGGACATGGCCTCAAGGAGGGTCTGCCACTGGAAGAGCAGGGCAAAATATTATGTGTTCTTTGTGGACGACTCACTACCAAGGGGAAGACCATGGTAAACTTTTCCCCCTGATTTGCGAAACAAATTATTCCTTTACCCAGGAGCAGAATGAATGTAGGAGCAGAGAAAGGCCCAGAGGTACACTAAATGATTTCCTACCCACGAAGGAAACATCAGGGATGGGAAAGAGTGTTTCCCAAGAAGTAGCCCCATAACCCAAGTACTGTAGGTCCAAAAACTATGCATGACTTATATCTGCCCAGCTTCTCAGAGAAGTCTGCACTTCCCACCTGTTAGGCAGGAAAATACCTGTTAGGTATGAGCAGGGTGGAAAGAGAATAAGGCCAGTAAAGCCCACTAGAAGGGACTCAGAGTTAACCAGTTAAAACTAGAAAGCCAGAAAAGATTCAGGGTTAATGAGTCAGTCAATAAAGCTCAGAAGGTCAAGAGCAACTAGACTTGGAAGGTTGAATACTCCCAAATAAAAGTATCTCAGCATAGCCTATGTTTACATTGTATCAGTTAGCACCTAGTAAAAGGCCCAGCTTATTCAAAAAGAATTCTATCTGGAAGCTAAGATTGCATTTTAATCAAACAGCCAATAACTCAGCCCACTTTGGAGGCAGGGCAGACAGTCTTGATTGATCTGCTTCCAGGCAGAAACTGCTATCCTGGGTAGGAATCAGAGCAGTAAATTTGTTATGTTAAGTTAAAAGAAGAAACTTAATGCCTTATCAAAGATGAACATTCTGGGACCATTTGGCAGGTCTGCACCTGGCCCTTTGTTGCTTTCCCAAAAATCCTCAACTGCCTATGAAACCCCAGACCCTAAACCCTGAGGTGCGCTCCTCTCGCTGAGGTCACCTGCACTTTCTAAGTGCGTAGCCTTTTCCCAATCTTCCAGTGCCTTTTCTCTGAGGTAACTCAACACTCCCTTTTCTCTGAGCATGCAACTTTTTGCTTTAAATAAACTCACCGCCCAACTTACAATGTTTTATCTCTGTGCTTTCCAGTGGTAAATGTCTTTATTACTTTGCTTTGTCATTCTGATCATCCAGATTTAAGCTCAAACCTTCACTCCCTCTGTCCTATTTCAGATAAGTAAAGAGGGGCTGCTGAGAGCTCATATCTGGGCTTGCAGATTACCATTGCCTGAGTGACCTGGGCAGAAATGGTCATGCTCTTTAGTAGCCTGCCTGAAAGTCTCCTTTCTTGGTCTCTAGGTTGTTCACAGAACATAATTTCATTCCATCCAGTGCTCTGCAGCTCCCCCAAATCCTGGGGTGGTAGGGACTCAGTTCCTACGTCATGCAGATCCAAGTGGACACTGGACACCAGGTGACACTGGCTTAAGGAGTTAGCAGGGGATGTGCCCCATGCTAAGTAGCTGTTCAATGAACTTCCCTTATTATTCTAATCTGTCATTCCCTAACACTGTCTCTTCAATAAATTCCTTCCTCACCTTGTCCTCTGATTTCCTTGAGTCTCCGAACCAACATCCCCCCTAACATCTCCTCCCTGAGGTCGCCTGTATTTTCTCTCTCTTTAAGGGTGTAACTTTAAATAAAACTTCTACTCTGCTTCACTACTGTGTCTCTGCCCTTTAATTCTTTGTTGCAGCAGGGACAAGGACTGAGGAAAATACATGACGCTCCCCTAACACACCTATGTCCATGATTGAGTTGGACTGCATGTATTTGGCTCAAAAGATTTGTTTCTGTCTTTTTCTCTAAATACCCTATGATGAAATGCTCCAATATGGGAATATCTTTTGGAATAACTCTCAAGAATGTTGAACCTGATGGAATCTTGCTTTTTTTCATGTTTCAAAGATCATACAAGTAATACCTGTGGGTAAAATTGTAATATTTCCATAATATCTCACCTAGCTTTGGTGCATCTCCATATCAACAAGGCATCCCTCAGAGGTGGAAAGAAGTTCATCTCCATATCAATGGGGGTAATTACCTGGGCAACAGAGGGCTTATCTGAACCTGACAGATTAGAGGGAGAGCTGGTTTGCTTCTGCTGGAGCAGGAAAGAGAGATGGCCCTAGACTGCAGTTTGTAAGCAATAAACAGGTTTAAATTTTTATTTCTCCCTTTGACTGATTTCAGTTTTAGAGGTATTTTGGTCCTGGGATTTCCTTTCCCTGGAGTTACAACACCGTACAGAATTTGGGTTATCTCAGATGGCTTTACCTAACTAGTGGCACAACTTTTAAGGTCTTTCTATTGAAACTGCTATCATTGGAGATTTCCAAGGACTTAATTCTCAGGAGTTTGTCATGGCTGACCACAGACCCACCATTACTAATCTCACCCTTTCGTCCCTGTTTAGGGCCTCATTATTTTACCAGCTACTAATAGATACCTGAAGTAATTGTAGGTTAGACAACTTCAGTTTGTTTTTTGTTTTTTTATTTTTCTCACATAACATGAAGTCTGAAAACAGGTACACTAGTATGGAATACCAGGGGGCTCCACATTGTCATAAAGAAATAGGCTCCTTCTTTTTGCTCTGTCATCTTGTCAGATTTGTCTCTTGGTTTCAAGATGCCTTCTGGGTCTCCAACCATCATATATATACTTCCCAAAAAATAGGAAGCCAATTAATGCAAAAAATCTACATTTCCAAGCCAAGTTAACATTTAAGAAACCCATCCAAGAACTTCTGCTTACATCTCATTGGCAAGCACTAATTACAAGAGTGATAAGGAATATTTGAATAAAAATCAGAAGTCTATTGGTAAGGAGAGAATGAAGATTGGGAGACTGATAGGCACCATGCAGTATTGCTGTGTGTGTGTGCCTATAGCATCCTAAACACTTCCAGTCCATAATA